CTGGAGTATGAGAACAGTAAACGCGAGAAAACGAGAGAGGTTTCAACCATGTCACTAATTCCTTTCGTCTTGATGACCGCATCCAGGCAGCATACATCTCTCCACGTGGCTCAAGCCAACAGTAAGAGATTTCATCAATCGATACCAGAGTCCTTAATAAGCCTAAATAGTTGCCCCACGTGTTAACTAACTCAGATATCCTCTCCATCTGTCTCCCTTTTGTCACCCACCACTACTCACAATCGATGAGAAGACTCTAAGTCAACTTACGTTTAAGTTGCTCTTGCTCTCCATCGTCGTCAGAGCCCACTAACTGGAATCAGTCTCCTCTCATCAATCAGTTCTGATGACGTCACGGAAACCCAATAACGTTTCCTAACCTTTCAGTCTAGGTTATCAAATCAACTGTTTTTACTCCTTTTTCTGTAGTGCACTGAATATGACACCACGTTTCAGCGGGATAAGGATTCCTGTTATGTTCGGATAAATGCTTACCCATTTCATCCCTAACTATGTACTTCATATACTCATCTTGTAATCGAACACACACACTTTACTATGGTCCGCTTCCTGCGACTAGTAAGGTGCAAACACATACACCAGTCCGTGCTAGTGTGTGATTGGAGTCGAAACTGGTACTCGAAAAAGAGTGCTAACCCTCTATCGATCATTTCCAACGATCGATTATAGCAGTGTGATCTATCTATGTTCATCGTTGGTTTGAAGTCGACAGATACCGTGTGAGACGGTGTCTCTCCATAGGCCCCGAGGTTAGTGCTAGTCAGAAACAACTGAATGTCAATTCGTTGGCACGTGATCCTGTAGTTACCTTCAGGATATCTTTCCGATCGGTTAAGCTTCTCTACATCACTGTTAAAGTCACCTGCTATCATGACTATACCTAAACGTTTTTCTTTTTGTAGTAAAAATTCATGACTTCAGATTCCAGAGTTTTGTCCGATTTGGTATAAGGTTTACACGTTGAAAGCTTCAATATGAAATTGACAGCATAGTTTTAAGAGGCTAGAAATGATGTGTTTTAACTGACTTGGATTTTTAACAATGGTTACGAAAGTGAAAGGTTAAAGAAGTTGTAAGCAGCTGAACATGGATCATTGGATTCTGACCCAGTGGCTCAATGGTAACGCGCTGGCCGTAGAACCTGAAGGTCGCGGGTTCGATCCCTGGAGCGCGGGGTCGTGGGTGAGCACTGCTGCGGAGTCCCATACTAGTCGGAAGAAACAGCTGCCCAGTGCTCCCAGGTTTCTTTTGTTCCTATAACTGATGTCAGTCTACGATGAATAACAGCTTGAATATGATTTAACGATACGTTAGGTAATAGGTTATAGACAATATACCCCCCTTCGCAATACCATTACTACGTTGATTGCTTCACAGTCCCTCCCCCGAACACGACCACCACCACCACTACAACGTCAAACACAACTCACACTTTATTCTATAACTAATTATATTTCCGAAAGAAAGAAATTATTTCGAACGTGACTATAGTGTTATGAAATGTTAAGCGCAGGGCACGCACCTTTTCCTTCCCAGTCACGTTCTACATGCATATGATTGAACATTGAATTATGACAAAAGTTAGTCTACATAGTAGAATAAATACGGGTAGGGAAGAGAAGAGGAGATAATCGACACTAATACAGCAAATCATTCATATAGGAATAGTAGTAATAATAATAATGACGTAATTTAAACAAATTGAACTGAATAGTGAATATTGTATGGGGTTATTAATAAGAATTTTATTTTTAAGGTTTGTACTCATCACGGGCTGATATCAGTTGAAGAACCATTGAAAACCTGGGAGCACTGGACAGCTGTTTCGTTTTAGTATAGGGCTCCTCAGCCGTACATACGTACGATCCCACGAACGGCCGGACTAATAACTTTCAGGTCTAGGAACGAATGTGTTAACCACTTAGCCACTGGAGGGAAGTTCAATGGTTCATAGTTTACTACTTCTATCAATTCGCCAGTCATGACTACTACATTCAAAGTCTTCAGTTGACGTATCCGTTTCACTTTCGAATTGGTTAACCTGACACGTCACAACTTCTCATTAGAAAATTAGGATATCCATTTCTAAGTATGTCAGCATTATGAGGTTAAATGAGGATTATACTTTTACGGTAGGAAGCAGGAAACTGTAGATCATTAAACTCCAACCCAGTGGTTGAATGGTTAACGCGTACGTCGTAAAACCTAAAGGACCTAGCCAGGTCACGGGTGTGAACTACTGAAGTTGAAGAGCCTTAGTCTAGGAGGGAACAAATGGTTTTTAATGGTCTGTGATGAATACTACCTTAAAAGGTGTGAACGTCTAATGGATAGGGAAAACAATAAACATTAACGTGGAAAGCTAACTATCCATTCGAATCAACATACGACCAGACATTACTGCGTAACGGTCTGACTTACTACCACACTTCATATCAGTACATCAAATTAAAACGCAGTGAAGTGGGAGATGAAGAGAAGAAAATTCAGTCAAAGAAAGATAAAGTACGGAAAGAAAGAAAGGATGAGAAAGTGGTGAGATTCGATATAGCGTCGTTAACATGGGGATAATGTGTGTATACACCTGACCCCCACCCCCCACACTGACATTCGTTTTGAGCCATGTGACCACCTAGAGTCTCCAACCACTCACTGGTTCCTCTTGTCCCGCGAACAGACCCCAACCATCCAGTCTACATCTCTCCACATGACTCAAACCAACAGTCCAACACTTCATACATTCATGCCATGTTTAAGTCTGACCATTCGGAACCTTTCTTCAGCCTTAACCTACTTCGGCCAACATTGTGTGACGTGGCAGATGGTGACTAGGCATAATAACACATGTCGCAGCCAACCATCTCAGTCGATGAAGGTTCACAACCATGTCAACTGATTTACTCTGAAGCCAGCCTTCTCCTGTCTTCCATCTTCAATGGCCATGTTTCACATCAATACAGTAGAACAGAGTGGACTGATGTGCAATACACTCAGCCCTAATGGACAATCGCATATCATGGTGGTGTCAAAAGCCAGTGGAGCCCCTTGTACTCGTGCAGAAATTTCATCGGCCACTGAGCTAGCCACCAGGGTTGATCCTACCTCCCAATTAAGTGAAGTGGTAGACACATTCAACCACTACACTCTCGAATGTTAGCCGCGGTTATGCACCGTTGAAGACCAATCCTAGAGCAACAATCTGCATTTGGATGGACACCACTCGACAAGCACAGCTCCAAGGGCAATTGAACAGTTCAAATACATTCAACAATAACAGGGGATTTAACGCAAAATGACGCATGAATTTGACGAAAAAAGAAGCTTGAATCCAAATGAGTGAACTACAAGAAATGACTGTGAACTAACTTAGCTAACTAGGAGGTGTAGAGTTATGGGCTCATTGATTTTAGAGAATTAACTATCAACCACTGGGTCACGGACTCGTACCCTGCTCCACCTACCGAGAAACAGTTGAACTATTCATTTCTAGAAACTAGTTCCTCTGACCAGTTAATTGGTTACAGTCTGACTCTGATGCACTAACGTTTGTCTTCAAACTCTAATAATTATGGTCAAGAATGATATCATAAAGATGAAGTTGAAGGGTGACGTATACAGCAACAGATTCTAACAGGTCACCCTTTAAACAGATGAACAGAAATTATACCAATAGGTATACACTATAAAGAATTAGCTGTCTCTTCTTAAGAAAAACGAACCATAGTTGATGAACAAGGCTATACATAGTCAATTAATGTCTAACTGATATCAGAACGAACCAATATTTATTCAGCTCTGTTAAGGTAAAGAAGCATACTTAGCGATGCCGCAGACGTAGAATAGTTTTTTTCCGCTGATTGAGGTGGCTTGAAAATGAGTGGTGCATGTCAAACTAACACCTGTCTAGATGTTCAATGCTAGGGGAAGTTCAAATAGGTTAAGGGCTCAGGGTGGCTAGACCAAAACGTGGCACTAATCCATGAAGATAGAGAAGACAGAATTCAATGGTTGAAGTACTCTTGATGAAATGTGTGAAAATCGATCACAATAACGTAAATGCATTCTCACTTCTTGACGTCTTTTGAAGTTTGAATAATTACACCTTTCTCCACTTTAATATCAGTTCTTTTAACTTGAAAAGATGCACTTCTGTGCAATATTTAACGTAGATTTTATCTGTCCCATGGAAGTACAATTTGATTCCAACAAATCAAGGAGTCTTGTGTTGTTTCCATCAGTTCGTCAACTTTTCATACATCAGCTTGGATACTACACATCAAAGGAGCACAGTCGAAATGTTCACCGATCACTAACATCAAAACGGCGGGAGGCGGGGGGGGGGGATTAATGTTAACATACATGGATCGAACTAAATACAACAATCGATTGCCTTATGCACTTACTTTACAAAAACTCAATTACTTATGTGATAAGTCATGTGGCTAACAGTGGAATCCAGGAAGCACATTTCGTCCTATTTGGAAGTCGTCAGCTGGATGTACCTGCTTCCCAGGGAGTGATGTTCCCGATCAATTCGGTCCAATCAACGATGGTATCATGTAATAAAAAAATTATACTAAAAACTATACCCATCGCACAAGAAGTGACTATCGTGACTCAGTGGTGTAGTGGATAACACTCTGGCGTTTCAAGCGATCGCTCCCGAGTCCGAATCCCGGTGGGAACAACACTGCGCACTGGGAAGCAGGTACATCCAGCTGATCAGCGAGTCCCAAATAAGATGAAATGCGCATCCTGGATTCCACTGCTAGTCACGATCCATCATTAATATGACCCATTTGGTTGAAAGTCATCTCTCTAAGCCAATGAGTAACTGATAAGTCAATCTCCTTTGAACTGATTACATCTAACTGGATTATATACACCAAATAGGTACATATCAATAATTCAGAAATACAAGAGGAAACAACTGAAATGAATAATAATAATAAAAAAAATAAGTGAATGAGTAAACTTACTCTGTGAGAAATTAGCTCTTGGAAAATTTGATGAACTTTGTAGTGATACTGGAGAGGTTAAATGTTTTTGTGGATGATTAATCCATTCACCCCATAATTGTAAATCATCTCCAAGTTTATGACACCATGTAGTACGTGATCGACTATTCAATGTCACCTCCATATTATTTGCTGGTATAACATCATGATTACCTAAAACAGGCAGGATATAGACTTCATCTATAGGGAATGCTTGTTTCATTGCTTTACTAAGCAATCGGATACCATCAAGAAGTTGTTCAGATGATACACTGTCATCATGAGGTCCATTATCACTGAATTCATATTGAATGAAAAGAAAAGATAAAAGAATGACAGAGAGATAAAATAAACAGTATTGAACGATGAAGGTATATATGTATGTGTATGTGAACATTTGTTCATCGTTGAACATACAAACTATAGACCTAGAGGGTATAAGATGACAAGATATCTGTTAATAATAATCAACATAGTTACAAACTACACTCCAGCTCCTGATGGCCCTCTCTCTACGACTAATACAGAAGTAATAATAATAGTGTTATTGCTTGTATTACACCGTCGTTGATTAGACCGAATTGATCAGTTTCTGTTGGCATATGGGCTCCTGTGCACATGCCTCGATATTGCCTGTCTTTTAACTATCTTTAGTAATGATGGGCAGTGGCTAGCAGTGGAATCCAGGATGTGCATTTCGTCCTATTTGGGACTCGCTGGTCAGCTAGATGTACCTGCCTCCCAGTGTGGAGTGATGTTTTCCCCACTGGGACTCGGACTCGGGAGCAATCGCTTCAAACGCGAGACTGATATCCACTACACCACCGAGGCACAATAGCCGCTTCTTGTGCGACGGGTATAGTTTCAGTGTTATTGCTTGTATTACACCATCGTTGATTGGACCAAATTGATCAGTCTCTGTTGGCATATGGGGAAAATATCATTCCGCACTGGAAGGCAGGTACGTCCCAGCTGAAGACTGTTAACTGTTACAAAGTTGATACATCTGAGTTCTGTTCTAATAGACGTTTTTCCTCGCATAATATGGGTACTAGGTAACGTATAGTTCAATTCTTATACCTAGGCGTACATGCCTACAGTCTGATATCATTTCTTCTTATCCTCCCTAAGAGGATTTAAATGGAGAGAGGGAGCTGTGAATAAAGTGGATGCTCAGTGTCAGGTAAAATTACTGTAGCTAGTTGCTTGCTGGAATTTAAATGTATATCAACTACTACAGTGTTAATCAGTTGAACCAGAGACACATCACTCACCTTACTCACCGACGGCTTTCAAAGCCCTACACAATAAATATAACATAGTCCCCTTTTAGTAAACCATCAGAGATCAACGGGGAACAATAGAGAAGGGGAATACACAAAATGTAGGAATTAATAAATTGTGAAAATAGAGGTATTGAGTTATACCAGACAGTCTCAGTTTCTTTATGTAATCAGTTAAACGAAAGATTCTCTTTACAAGTCAACAAGATATGAGACGACCAACAAGGATTAGAAGTAAATCTCAATCCAAGATAGTTAACATTCGACTTACTCTCTGCAGAAATATCATCAATACTCCAACAGGCGTCATGAGACTTAAACAGCTCATACAAGTCCGTCTTGTTTCCACCTGAGGCTAAAAATAACACTTTGACATTTAGAAGGGTTTAACTTAGAACCCTTTTAAGAGAGATACCATTGGTCAATTACAGACAAGAATCCACTTAATTCAGAGTAGTCGAAGTGAGACAGTTAACTGGAATAGACACCGTCACATTATCGGTATACTTAATAAAATTTGTTTCAACAGGAATAAGGTGGGTTGTACAAAAAGAATGAAAACAGAGGCGGAGAAAGTACAGTACTTTGAGGCATACTAACTTCAGTAAACAATGAAGTGGAGCCACAACGAGTATGCCTAACACTTTTTGTTGTGACTAAAAACAATATTATGATGCAAGACAGTGGCGGTATCTAAAGTACTTCTCCTGTGTTTGTAAGGAAACCATTTTGGATCTCTGAAAACCTTCAATGAAGGCTCAATCACAAGGAGAAGTAATTCCTCCATTGTCTTCAAAAAAGTGGAAGTTATAACAATGGATCGAAACGTAACTTCTGGTCTAGAAGATGACTTAAGTACAGGTACAATTTTGATCTCCTTCTAATCAGCGAGTATTGTGTTTTTATAAAACGATACATTAAAGATATCTATAAGGGGATGAGATAAAATATCCGCACATTTTCTGAATATTATAATACTAGCAACACCATCAGGACCTAAGCTTTAGGATAGATTCAAGAATTTTATACATTCAAATATTTCATGTGTATTAAAACCACTTATCTTCATCCTTCACCTCACTACCTTTCTACTTGATGAACTGATGTGAGGTGTGGCAACTCGGACCGTTACGCAGTAGCAATGCCTGGTCCTATGTTGATAATGATGATTAAAACGAGGAAATCACCTATTCATTTGACTATGGATAACATTAAGAAGGATGAGATCAGCTTGCCGACGAATAAATGACTTGTTTAACGTGCAGGCATTTCAACAAGCTTTTTTTGTCATCTGTTCTTTACCAGTAAGATCTTTAAATAATTTCCATATATTCGAAGAGTTCTTACACAGTAGAAACTTCTGATTGTAAATACTATTCAAACGTTGTACTTCTTCCGTTTTATTCGATTTATTAAGTGTATCATACAGTGAAGGAATAGTACTATTTACTCCATCATTCCACAACTTTCAGATATTCTTTATACAGTCCTAACATCCTCGCCCCATTTGTGATATGGGTAGTGTAGTCGGCGTCGCTGATAACAATGGATATAAGTAGTATATGTTGAGAGGGTCGTAGGAATCATAGGGAATTACCGGCAACGGGTAAGATTTCTGCCGAAAGCAACGCAAATGATAACGCGGGCGTATTACAGTGGATGCTGCTGATAACAATGTATGAAGAGCAGATCAAGAGCAAATCAAGAGAGGAGCAGAAGAGGAACGAAGCACATTTGCAAATGGCGGGGTTAGTGCAAGGTGTACCATATGTAACGACTACCGTTCCAACTGTTAGAAACAAATATTCTTTCCGTTATGTTTGTCTTCTGTCTCTTCTGGAGGATTTTACATACATCCAGAACAAGTGCTAAGCCATTCCTGTGGCTGCTGCATGTATTAAGTGTTTTTATTCGATAAACGAAAATCCGATTGAATTATTGAGGGGATTGTGGGGACTTGAAAATATTTCAAGTTTTCATTCATCGCAGACTGACATCAGTTGGAGGAACAATGGAAACTCGAGAGCACTGAACAGCTGTTTCGTCCTAGTGTGGAACTCCTCAACAGTGCGGGGTCGTGGGTGCGTACAACTTGAAAAATAAGATTTTCAATGTCTCTCTCCACACAACTAAGTTAGTTTTTAATACTATCACTGTGTTATCCCACCGTATTGTTTCCAATTCCATGCGTAGCTATGGTCAAGCTTTTTTATGTAAATTCCTCATCTTTCTAAGATCTACCCATTTTAATCTAACTAGGTTTTCGTGCTCCAATAGTCTAACTAACTTGTTGATCAATTTGACGGAGGGTGCGGACATTCAAGGCTCCAATATGTAATTTGGAGCGTGGTTTAAGGAGACCAGGGATGCTGTTCTGTGAACTACGATAGTTGTCGAAGGCTACAGACCTACGAGAAATTGAAGATGAGGTAGTATCGTTAGTTGAGACGTGAAGGAAGATTAGAAGGTGGTGAGGGGGCAGGTGGACAGCAGTTTGAGGAAACTTAGGTGCGGACAGAGTTGTGAGGGCGGTTGACACTCCCCGGCTGCCCACACCGTGGAAGGCTATTTCTTCTTAAAGTACCTGAAAGACATTTGTGTGACAGCACAGTCTATCGGACATCTGCTTGAGGCCTGCCACACTCAGCCTTTGTGCATGATTGTTTTGAACTTTTGTATTTTTGGGCCAGATGATCGAAAAGAAATGACAAATGAACCAACACCACCGACCCGGCAGACCGTGGGGCATGGTGGAGTATGTGTGCGTTATTTTTGGAGTCGACCTTTTCTAACCACTCCCCTTCCACTGAGAAGGCAGCATCATCAAGACACTGCTGGTCATCCAAGGGAAACACCTTACTGCTGTCACACCCCATTCAGCTAGCAGCAGTACGACTTCGCCCTCAGACCCCCATCATGGTGTAGCAATTTACACTATAACGGTAACTGCTTTTCGTCTAACCACTATCCAACAGACCTTTTTGGTATGGTAGGACCTCGAGGGAACAAGTGTTCCACCAGCATAGTTTGTTGGGTCATTGTGATATGCAAGCCCGACCACCACGTCAACGTAGCAGCTATCGGTCGAGAACTTACTAACTAACCCCGCCTACTCCACAACTTTCATCTATGTATTCAACCTAGAATCCATATTACAAAGGAGGTGAGAAAATTAGAACTATATCAACGATTACTATTCATTGATATACTTGTAATTCTCCATTGTTTTATTGGATTGAATTATTCGACCATAATTGGCACTCGAGCAATATCGAAATATCTGCATAGGAGCCCATATGCCAATAGAGGTCGAACAATTCAAACCAGTAAAACAACAAAGAATTACCAGTATATCAATAAATAGTAATAACTACTTTACTACCCGTTGTACAAGAAGTGGATATCGTTCCCACGTGACATAGTGGATAACGCCTTGGCGTTTGAACCGATGGGTACAAGGTTCGAGTCTCAGTGGGAAGAACACTACTCACTGGGGTGGAGGTACATTCAACTGACGAGTCCCAAGTAGGACGAAACGCGTATTGTGAATTCCTCTGCTAGCCACAACCAACCAAATCATATAAACCATGTCTCATAGATGTAGAGTTACACTTTAGTAATGACTATGGACAATAAATTGTCTCCAAAACGTTGTTACCCAATAAACCAACTAAAATGAAATCACATTCTTACATACTATGTATCTTCACTCATCTTCTAGTTGCATTATAATCTGGTTACTACTGATGCATTATCTTTCCCTGTTCAACAGTCTGGTGTTCTCACTTACTTTGATGACATTACATCGCATACTACTTAAATGTTTATAAGAAATGCCACACAGTGAAGCAACAGTATCATTTACTGGATAGCCACCTTTCAGACACAATTTATTGTCCATATTCATATGAGACAACTAACTAAACAACTTTGAGACAGAGTTTATATATTTCTAATTCTCTCTCCTTCTCTGGGATGATAAGGGTAGTAGAATTCTCCTTATATCTGGCACAGGTTCAGAATCATTTCTGTCACTCTATGTATTTGGTGTTGATTTGAAAAAACAAAGATTCGGTTATCAATCTCTCCCTTCCTCCACCCAACTAAGTTACTTTCTATTAAACACTATCAATCTATCCCATACTACTGTGTGGTTGTGTGTAACTGAGTGAGTAGCTATTATAGCCAAGCGTTTCTCTACATTTCTTATCTTATTATAATCTTGACTGACTAGTATGACGACTTATGTATTTAATCTCACAATCATTGCAAGGGATTCGGTGAACCAGATTATTTTGCTTGGTTGCATCGATAGAATTATATAACCTACAACGCTTGTTTCTAAGCGAGTTTGTTGGTTTCACTGTTATCCAATTTAATCCTAGCCGACCTTATTGAGAATTCTTCTTAATGCTTCTCAGGTGACTTCCTTGTACGGTAACACAGAAGAGGCTTTGAATTCTCTCTCAACACTGTCCCCACTATTACTGTTAGTAGTAGAATTATAAGACAAGGCTATCCATTATCACCGATGATCTTCCTGATTGTGGTCGACTAGATCATGCAGCAAACAGTGAGGAGCGAGAAGAAGGGGATACGCTAGCTGGATAGGGGAAAAGATCCTAGAAGATTTGGATTTCACCAACGATGACTTGTGTCTAATGTCACACAAACCTGAAGATCTACAGGTGAAAACTAACAAGTTGACTGAAGAGGCAAGGCAGCAAAGACGGGACTTCAAGTGAATATAGAGAAGACAGAGGTGACGAAGATACCGCACCAACAACTCCAACAACAACAAGAAGCTCCAATCATCATCAATGGGAGAAACCTAAAGGAAGTAGCCTCCTTCACCTACCACCTATCCAGGCGGCATCGTTTCAACTACAGGCAGCACAGACGAGGATTTCAAAGCCAGACAGGATCGGAAAGACAGTGTGGAGATCTTCTGCACTCAGCATAAAGCGTGAACAAGATCCGGATTTTCAACACGAATACAGTCAAGTTAGTGCTTCTATATGCTTCAGAGACTTGGCGCGTTACAAAAGGCATTTCCGACAAACTACAGGTACTCATCAACAACTGCGTACGCACCTTACTGAAGCTCAGATGGCCAGAATAATAAAGATAAGCAACAAGCAACTCGCTCTGGGAACGAACCAACGGAGAACCTATCGCTCAACAAATATGCACTGGAAGGAAGTGGAGATGGATTGGGTATGCGCTGAGAAGACCATTCGGGGACATCATGCACCAGGCCAGTTGCTCGAGTAGAACCCAGAAGGGAAACGGTGAGTTGGGTGTCCGTGGGGAAGGTGGTACGGAGACCATGTGAGGAAGAAATGAGAGCTTGTGGGCAGTCGTGGAGCCAGGTTCAAAAGATTACAGATTACAGAGTGGAATGGAGACGTGCTATTGAAGACATAAGTTCCACTAGTAACCCTAGAGACAAATAATAATAATAATAATAATAATAATAGAATTACTATTAATAACACCTGTATTACTACTACTACTGCCAATAATTTTCTTTCGATTTTTCATGCATTTATTGATAAATTTTGGTGGGTAATTATTGAGACCAATAAGGTATTCTTGATGTATCTAATTTCTTGTGGCAGATTTTCTGGCCTACTAGCCAGCCTCTTACGCCCTATCACTTAGGCATTTAACTAAGCCTAATTTAACTGAAATGGAGTGGGAGGATTCGAAGTCTAAGGAGCGATTCGAATGGGAAGGTTTCCTATAGACATTAGTCTACAAACTTCCATCTTGTGTTCGTTTACTCTTTCAATCCAACATTGCTAGCTCACCTTCTTCACTTTGTAAGTAGTCACAGGTGAACTGGATTAGATTCACTACTGAATTTATGTATGCCAAGAACCTATTGATGTATTCCAATTTCTGTACTGTAGACGTATCATCTACATATCGAAACGTTATCCAGTAAATAACACTGTTTCTTCACTGTATGACATTCTTAATAAACAGAATAAAATGAAACAACAATCTATCATAGTGCCCAAGTTTTACTCCTACAAAAAATGAGTAGAGTTTTCTGACTAGAATCATACTGCCTATCATAAAAATATGATTATGGAAGGGAATTTATCAATAACCATGATGGTTTGACTATTAGATACAAACAGAGATACACTTCAATTCTAGACTACAACAAAAATGATAAAGTTGATGCCATACACTTAAATATTGTAGGCTTTACAACTGAAGAAGTCTATTTGAAACTTCTCATTGGCTTGTGGATAGATTAAAAATCATGATTCTCGTTAGTTTCCTCTTTTCCCCGTGTGATAAGGATGTCCAGCCACCTTTCCTATTTACCTTGATGATAGAAGTAATAATGAACAACCTTAGGTGCGTCTGACTCGACAAGAATTGATCTATTCCCTGGAGGCCATCTGGTTGATATAGAGTATGCTGACGATATTTCCCTACTACATGAAAATGCCAACAAAATGCAGGGTCTCCTAAATGCGTTGAGCATTTATTTGAGTATGTTTGGGATGCGTCTCACACCTATTTAATGTCAGACGATGCTCATAGACTACTCTCTGACTACTTCCAGTTCAATGATGAGGAGTGAAAAGGTGGAATATGTTGAACACTTCACTTACTCGACGAGTTGTATCAGACCGAACCACCTGCTTACCAACGAAATCTCAGATAAGATACAGAAAACCCGTTTGGCATTTACCAAGTTGCGTCACCTCTACCACCGACTGGTGAGATATCCGACTACCTATGAAAATGAGAAGTATACTGGGTTGCAGTTGTTTCTGTCCTGTTGAAAGTGGAAGACATGAAGTGGTTACAGGGTTTCGATCATAGGTGTCTTCGTAGGGGAATGATTGCGTTTTGGTGGAATCACCATATGAGAGATGTTAAGGTTAGAAGAAGTGTATTAGGTAAGATAGGTCGACAAGTCGAATGTCATTATTTGTTTATTAGAAGAAAAAAAAATTGTCAAAAAGTGAATAGTTTTGAAAAAAAGTTATTGCTCATCTAATCATTAATATCAACATAGGACCAGTCATTACTACTGCGTAACGGTCCGACTTCCCACCACACCTCATATTAGTACATCAAGTGAAAAGCCAGTGAAGTGGAAGATGAAGAAAAGAAATATAAAGTAGTAAAAGAGAGAAAGGAAGAATGAGAAAATAGTGAGATTCGATATAGTGTCGTTAAGATGAGGATAATGTGTATATACATCTGCCCCCCCCCCCCACTGACATTTGTTCGCAACCATATCACGTAGAGTCTCCAACCACTGAAACAGTAGTAATAATGATTCACAGTACCACTGTATGAATAAATTCATAGATATCGAATGCCTACAGTAGAAGTCACTAGACAAAATGTATAAAAGTAAGGCATAAATGTATACAACGCACAATTCAACATTGACTGAGCAGACCAACTTACCCACTCCAAATGACAAAATCAGGTTTCTTAGCAAAAAGTTCCCTGGTTGCACTGATTGCGGATAAAGCAAGATTTGGCGAAGAATCACAAGAGTAATTACCATATGGAAGATTACATGATTTATTTACATAGTGTAGATCACAGTGAATATCAGTTAAATGCCAGAAATAACCTGAAAGTTATCCATACAGAAAAAAAGAACACTTTACAAGAAGCTAACATATACACAATGAATTAAAACACGCAAAATAATTCATGAATTTTCCAAGTGTCTGTGTCTGAGCCATACATAACGGGGTGTAATGCCATTTTACTTCGATTACCTTGTCATACAATGCTAGGTAAAGTTAGATTAGGTTAGAAGAGAGTTCAGGGTGACTAGACCAAAACATCGCAGCAGCTAATGAAGTTTCTGACTGTTGATCTGAGACATTTTGGGAGATGTAGACTGCTTAGATAGGGTTCCCGAAACAATGCATTCACTCCTTGACATCTTCACACTAACCTTCATCTTCTAATTGCTTATTTTCTCACACAACTTCAACTACCTTGTTATCACTCATATTCTATCTACTTGTTCTTTGTATACTACTGTGAAGTATGGCAACTTGAAGTAATGCATTTATGTGTGAGATTCTACCATGACTTTATCTCTCTATCTGTCTGTTTGTTCACTTGTGGTCTTCAAGCTGTGAAGAAGCAATGGTTGATGATGTTCAGTGAAGTACAGTGATGCAAACGAATTCATTTCCCTTCTCCCCTCTATCTCTCTCTCTCCCCCTTCCGTGCTTCAATATTATGCTATTTATATTCACATACTCTTTTCTGTGCTATGAGCAAGTGTGTAGTAGCTTGGATTAATGTACTTCCTTGAAAGTATCTCTACTTTGTTCTGCATAGTTCTTCATCATAACCTAAGGAATCCATTAGGGTATTCAACTTTTTTGTTGAGAAAGACAGAAGTAATACGAGATAGACATGCATCGGTTCAAGTTGAAACACTTTACGTCACCATGAAGGGACACAAAGAGATGGAGACGGTAGATGTATAACACACATGCTAAACGTAGTTTACTTAGCAATCATTGATGAATTTCTCAGAAGATTGTAAATATCTATCAGTGCTACCATCCAAGACAGATAGGAGAAGAGGTAGGTTCAACGTGGGGAAGCTATCACAGTTTACATTGTCATAATTCACCGCAGAAAACAAAGAACAACTTGATAGAAAAATATCGATATTAAGGTAGACAAAACTGCATAAAAGTTGAAATAATGACTATAGATGATGGTTAGTAAAAAAAATATCTAAGACTTCGAAGACGAGAAAATGTGCAGATGTATGAGCCAATGTGACAGATTTCGAGGTATATCATTAATACTTGTTAGCAATTGATTCCATTTGTCTTGATGACTCCATTCAAGCAGCTTACACCTGTATGTATGACTCAGATCACTGACTGATACCATGTCTTCATCTAACCATCTTTAACCTTTCTCAAGTCAATTCCAATTTGGCTAAGAATCTGTCCCGAATTCTATGTGAAGAATTACATTCTACCACAGTGCCAAGGTTTTAGAGAATATGATATCTCAAAACGACATTATGACTTCGGTGAGGAAACATTGTGTTTTGAAATAAACTACCATCATTTAGTGTATCCTTGGAGATATTGTTAACACATAAGAGTATTTTATTTACTTCCAGAAATAAGTAAGCCATCATACAGATTATGTTCAAACAGTGTACTTGATGTAAAACTTTCATGCATGGATAATTATGATGTTATATGTTAGAACTCGATTAGCAGGAAGCCTTGTCTGGACTAGGGGTTTCGAGCTTGTCAGTTATAACTAATACCTGTTGTACAAGAGGTGGCTATAGTAATCCCATGGCCTAGCGCATAACTCTTTGGCGTTTGAATTGATGGGTACGAGGCACGAGTTTCAGTGGGGAACAACATCACTCCGCACTGGGGTGCAGGTACACCCAGCTGACGAGTCCTGAGTGGGACGAAACGCGCGTCTTGGATTCTTCTGCTAGCCACAACTAAGTGAGCAACATATTTAGCTGTAGATCGATGACAAGTGAAGGAGAGGCTGGGGCTGATCATACACAGTCTTCATTCGTATTTGTAGTGTTGCATTCCTACGTGGCGATCCCCGATATGAGAAAACGGTATTTCAGACTAAATGCTCAAATTTTCAACTTTCGAAACCTAAGTCACAACCACCAACTGATATCCTAATACTCAGGAGCATTAATTTACGATGTGCTTCCGAAATATAGACAAAATCGGAATGGGTTGAGTCGCTTGACGCCACCTAACACCAATCTAGCTTATTATGCATGGGCTCAGAACTATTCACTTACTTTTCCTGTTCGACCGCAAATTTTGGAAACTTCAAGTACTGTAGTGCTGTGCAAAACCTTACGCTGACGTATCCATGGGTTTGGAAATACTATTATTCCACAGGAGGATGGATACTTCTTGGCAGGATCCTCGCTAATAATAATCTATGATCTAATCGGCTAAACGACTGTGCAGGAACTCAATTATCCATAATACGCTTCCATGTTTACTTACAATGTCTACCAAGACACTCCCATAGAGTATGGAGAATGACTTTACCAAATGTTATTCATGCTTCACTAGACCTAACGTCAAAATAGCCGTGTTCATTGGTGGTGAATACAAAACTAAGGAGGTTAAGCCAAAAGCCAAGTTACGACTGCCTACACAATCAAGGGTCCTCACATAAAACAACTTTGTTGAAAGAAAATATGAGAATGTCTGGCATATATGCTTGTTGCTCAGGTAAAAGATGTTCCTCCTTTGGTTTGTACAGCGCCTACTTTAAAGTTCTACATCAGCCTAGATGAACTGGTAAAAGGCTCTATTGACTTTCGCCAAGTTACGTGATCCGTGGTGCCGCCGCGATATCCAATTGTCTATTAAGGGTCTAGGGTACTGTGTCGCAGTTTGCTATATTCTACTTTATGGCTGTGAAACATGGCTGCCACTAAAGGCAGCGGATATAAGAAGGCTTCTGATGTTCGACAACCGTTCCCTTCGTATAGGCCATGTGCTGCAGTGTCACCACATGAATAACTCAAACGTCAGGTGTAGAGTTTTAGGGAAGAGAGGTAAGACAGTTGCTGCGACTGTGAACCTTTATCAACTCAGATGTCTGAGACATGTGTTACGCATGCCTAGTCACAGTCTGACTCGTTGCGCTTAGGTTGGGAAAAGGTTAGGAGCGGCCACACTAAAACATGGTATCACTGTATGAAATCCTTGACCGATGATTTCAGCTATGTTGGCAGATGTAAACTAGCCGGCTGGGAACCATGTAACAACAGAAACCAATGGTTGGAGACTAGGTGATATGGCTCAGAATCTGTCAATCGAGCTACACTAAATTCCACATTTTCTCATCCCACCACCCTTTCTTTTACCGCTTTCTACTGCTTTCGACCGGTTCTTCCTTATTTCTTCATCCTTAATCTTACTGCTTTGTCACTTGTTCTGCTGATATAACATGTGGCAGCTTAGATTGTTGTGCAGTAATATCTGGTGCTATGTTGATATTGACTAATTGATCTGACATGAGCTGGCAGCTAATGGCCTCAGTACACAAACTAAATCTCAGTTTATTGTTTGTCAAACTGTCATATTTGTGATGTCCGATAGATAACTCGTTGCTGATCCCACGGTAGAATACAAGTATGTATAGGATAATAAAATATTCAAAATTGAGAAAATTTTAGTAGTTTATTCATTAATAACAATTTAGAGATGTCAATGGTCAGTAATTAAATAACTCAGGTAAAAAGTTCCCCTCTAGCTCTTAAATACATTATTCTACAACCACTTATCTTTTCTTTAAGTATTCTTCTGCTTGTTCATTTTGATAGGAAATTTTATCAACTTTCTCCGTATTCTCTTGTGTATTGTAGTAAAGTGAATCGGCAGACTGTGAGGCTATAGATTACGTCTCTGTACTGTTGTCCTATTGATTTAACCAGTTGTTACAACAATCGAGAAACTATTTTTGTGTATTTCTCAGCTGCTGACAGGCTGTCACCAACAGAGGAATATAACTTTAGTGACGGCAACTTTTTTTTGGATTAAACTCACTATGTGAAGGCACTTAGTGACAGCCTAAGGCCAGAATGAAGGCCTATGTTGTGGCTTCTTCAAAGCGAAGTGTGATAATACACATAACACACTTCTCCAGTAACAGTACTTGACGACTAGACTGAACAAAATAAGACCTGGCAAAAAGGTGTGGCGGTTTGAATGAGGCTCGAAAAGTGAAATGCTTCAAGTTACTGATTATCATATGATAAACTCGTAAACCATCACACAGTACCACTAACTGACTTGAGTAATTGTAGACCACTCATGTTGACTAGCAGCGCTCGCTAGCTAGATCAAAGTAGTCTGGACACTGAACGACAGGACTAATTCACCTAAGAGAACGAAGTCGTTCACACCACTCTACATAGTTGTCTATCCTCTACTGTGTCATTACATCAACAAGACATAACATCCAGTAATGTAAAAATATGTTCCTAGTGAGAAGTTATGTGGCCGATAGTGAGAAAGTATCAGGTGTCAGTTAAAATATACCAACCATGTGTGTGGTTTAATGCCGTCTTCAACTAAATATACTTTTTACCATCATGTTCTTACAACGTTCCTACACTCGACTAAGATCGTAAACTTCTTCGACCTTTGTACACTGACTTACAGAACGAGTAATTCACAATATGTATTGTCTGAAATCACTCATAAATCAGCTACAGATCTCATTAGCTAGATCATTATGGTCTTATCATTGATCCGTAGTGACCATAGTGAAGTTGAGAAGTTTTTCAAACCAATAGCTGTTACGAATGCCTGTGCGTTCAACAATTTTTCGCCTGAAAATTTCACAATACAGCCAAATATTAACACAAGTTCCAAAGATGTAATACCAACATCGTTTGGAGTGCCAGGGAATCAATGGGTAGAGACCCTTCAAAGAGTCGTGCATGTGGATTGAAAACAGTTGAAGAACTATTAAAAAACCGAGAGCACTGGACAACTGTTTCCTCCAAGTATAAGACTCCTTAAGACCCCACACGCATGATCCAACCAGAGGTTGAGTCACTCATTCAACATA